TAAGGCTGCATCTGCACTGCAGAAATAATGCCATTTGACACCTGTTTAACTGCCGTGGTTCAATGCTATGGAATTCTCGGATATGTAGTTTTATGATATATTTAGCCTTTCTGTCAAAGAGCTCTGGGTCCACAACAGGCTACAAATCCCAAGATTCCACAGCACTGAGCCTTGCTAGTTAAAGCAATGTCAAACTATGTTATTTCTGCAGTGCAGATGCAGCCTAAAATTCCAGTCTTCCTGAAAACTGGCTGTGCTAGCTAGAGCTGCTGGAATTTACAGACCAATAACACCTGGAGCATTACATGAGTCCCATCCCTCATATAAATATTAGAGAATAGCAGTCTTTGCTTTTGCTTAAATCTTTTTTAAAAATATGAATCTTTTTAAAACTTTATCAAGAGAGTTATTTAAATGTACCTGAATTCTGTTGAAAATAGGCAGCTTTGCCTTCCCTCTGGCCCCACTGTCAAATGAATTACTAGGCAAGGAAAAGGATGCCATGGCCACTTGACTGGGAGAAGCTACAGAAGACACATCGAACTTTGGCTTCTCTTTCCGACGGGGTCTACCACTTCGAGAATGCCCTTTGCCTCCTGATTCTTTGGTGCAAGACTTGCTCTTCTCTTTCTTCCTTGATCCAGGAGAGCCATTCTCCAACTGGCTCAGTTTCCCATAAGTGTGGTTTCCTGGAGTAGATTCATACATTACTGACTGGTTAGGGTTAGAGAAGTCTTTGAATCCAAGGCATCCTGCTTTCAAGGTTCTGGCCTGCCTTGCGTGAGAAATGCTGTCTGAGTTTACAGGTGGTACAGAAAGTGACTGAAAGGGCTGCAGAAGAGTAGCTGAGTGGTGCTCTTCTTGGACCAAGGCCTTTTTCACATATACAGGAGATTGTTCTCTTTCTGTTGGTTCTGTAACTGAGTGAAGTAAATCAGTCTGCTGTTGCTGGTGCTGCTGCTGCTGCAATATGCTCTGGAGTGGTTTCGCTACCACCTGCTCAGTCTCCCCAACTACTAGCTGTGATGGAGCAGAAATCTCGGTGTGAGACATGATGTGCTGAGATTTGGTGATTGTCTGGAACAGGTGACTCTGAACTTGTAGTTTGTCCTGGTTCACAGAAGATTCTTGGGATTTCATAAACAGCTGCCTGAAGACTGGCCCTGTTTCACTCTTCTGCAGAACACCTTGCTGTGGAGCATCTGGAAACCTTGTTCCTGGCCTAAAAGTCTCTTCAAAGCCACTGAGCTTTGGCTCCCCAGGGATTTCCCCTTGAGTTTTTAAGAGTGGAGTGAAAGACAAAACGTCTGGATGCTCAATGTTATGTGCCAGAGAGTCAAAAGCAGGGGAAGTTCTCCCAACTCCTTGTGAAATGTCTTGACCTGAAGCAGATGACACCTGAGCAACATAAACACCACCTCCTTTGCTTTTGGTGCAAGCTGGTGGCACATTTCTAACCCACTGGAAGCTGCCACTTGATTGATGAGAAGTGGTAGGAATCTTTGGACCTCTGAATAACGGGAAACGAGGAATACCACTGTTTGACCAATACTCCATGGGTGTGGTTTCCAAAGAGAAGGGAGGTTCTGAATGTAGCTGTCGGTCTGGCAAATTTGTTATGTTCTCTGCTGGCCCAAGTACAGATACATTTCCAGGATTAATGATGGTATACAAACTGGAAGAGGTTGTATTCTTTTGACAAGAATAAAACTCCTTCATTTCTTTATCACCAGTCGTTTCCATGAGCATAGCAGAACTTGTGGGAACACAGGAAATCTGCCCACAAAGAGTGGTGCAAGGTTGCAAGGATCTCCTGGAGTTTGGTTCATTCTGTCCCACGGAGGGTGAAGAAGTGGGTGGAAACTTCTGGCCAACAAAGCTACTGACAATACACCTCAACAAGTCTCTGTTGGCCAAGAGGAAATCATTAGGGGCTTGAGGTTCAGGATGAACAGCCAGTCTCTCTGCAGTTCTCGTGCTGCTGGATCCCATCTGGATACGGGACTCATGTTGAGAAGGGGCACCTTCAGAAGCATCATCATCCTTTAACAACTTCAAGCCATGGTGCGTTTCATAATGCCGACGAAGAGACCGATGGTCTGAATAGCTCTTATTGCAACCTTGTTCTATGCACATGAATGGCTTTGTTTTTTGGTGGGTTAGCATGTGGCCACTCCTAAAGTTTTGGAAAAAGAATTGATACTATCTTCAAAAATTCCCAGCATTGGCAAGAGAGTTAACCTGAACAATTATTATTAATTACTAAAATCTCTTCTGATCTTGGTTAATGTAACTCTCATTATCAATACCACAATTCAAGGGCTTAGAGTGATGAAACATATGGCAAAACAGTTAACCAAGTAGATGTGTTCCTGGATATTACTTCTTTAACAGAAAATTTGGCTTCAGACACAGAAATAACATGGAAAGAATAGGGACACATTCCTGCACCACAGAAAGGAAGAATAGTTCAAGCATTTTCAGCAAACTTTTTTATCCAAAACTAACAATTTGCAAATGTGAAATCAAACAACCAGGTCAGGTAAGCTTGTGTAAAGAAAAAGAAAAAATTTGGCCCTCTATAGACTACTTCAAATCTTCTTCAAAAACCACCCAGGAATGATTGTTTTTTTTTTTTTAATTTGGTTGCTCTCACCACTTTTCACTTTTATTACAATTTTCATTTTGATGGCCAAATTTACAAAACTGTGTTGTTGTTTTTAATTTACCAGGGAGTCAAGTGTATCTGCTTTTCTCTTTTCCTGCTATTCTGCTATCACGCATCCTCAGTAATAGAGGCTGAAGGCAGCTGGTGTTTACTCTTCCAATTGCAAGGAGGCACACACAGCCACAGTTGGACCAGCTAGAGTGAAATCTTTAGCTTTATTGACTTGCTTATTGCAGACATGTTTGTAGAAGTATTCTATCCTACAAGCCTCCACCTCCAATATAAAACATTATCATCCAGGTACAGGTTAACCACTCTTAGGGATAACTAAGCCCAGATCTTTGGCCATAGGCTCTAGCATTCATGGAAAATTCTCTCAATAACAAGATGATGTGGTTACAAGTGGCAACAGGAATAGGGAGATCTTATTTTGTTCTCCAAGAAAATAGATCAATAGCTTCCCAGTTCCATTTTTTTTCCAGTTCAAGATACTTTCCTTGTAACATCTTTCCACTAATATCCCCTCAGACAATTACTCACACACGCACACCCAATTCTCTGTGGGCCTTAAATTCTTTCACACATCACAAAGTAACATTAGAAAGCCTCTGTTTCCAAAATACCAATTGCTTATTCATAGCTGGAATTCTTCCTGGACTAGTTCTACAAAACCTGAAAACGTATCACTCTACTGAACAGTGTGTTCAGACCACTGTTGCAAAGCAACTTCGGTAGCAGTTTTGCCATTTACTTAACTTAAGGCAGATTGTGTCATCCACAATGACTAAGGAATATTAACTCTGCATGGTTATTTGCCATGTACAGATGCAAACTGAAACAGGCCATATTTCTACTGTAGCAAGAATTATCCTCATATATTTAAATCAGTTTTATTAGTAGATACATACAGGTGGTCCTGCCGCTTAAATGCTTTGCTGCAGATCTTACAGACGTGTTTCCGTTCTTGGCTGTGAGTCACATAATGCTTGCTGAGTGAACTGGTGCTACTGAAAACCTTCCCACAGAGGCTGCAATCCAGAAAAGGAGCTTGAGGGGAGCTTTGCTGGTTCTTTCCTTTCTTCCCACTGCCAGAGCTTGATCTGCCTCCTTGCTCCACTTCTTTTGGTGCTGAAGGGGTAGGAAGCCCTAATTCTAAATAAAGAAAGACAACTTTACTGGTATCGGTGCAGTTAATATGAGTGTGACCTAAATAGTTTCTGGTTTAAATCTTGTTTACCCTGCTAGGCAGTGCTAGGTAAGCCAGTTTTTGCTTAGTCCCCACCCCAACACTTCTCCAACACATGAATAAGAATACCAAATCAGGCTGCTGTAAAGATTAATCACCACATTCACCCACGCATTAAAAGCCCAAATTCTTCAAGATCCTAGCTTACCATTTCATATGCAAGTGTGCTAATTCACACTCTGATCTGTGTTCCCCTTATAAGCAGGAGCAACTAAACTCACCAGGAATTACCAGGGTGGAAAAGCTTAGAATTTCCAGGAAACAGAGATCTGGTCTTGGCACTCATCTAACAAAACTGGGAATAGAAGCAAACTTCAGATCCTGTCTTCAAACATTGACTTTTTAAAGGAGAAACACGAAAGGAACCATGGTTTGGATGGGAATAACTCAAGGCTTTCCCGCTCTGGTGAAGTTCCTGGTTGGAAAGGAATCATGCAAGACACAGCAGCACACTTGCTTGTGAACTATAAACCAGGATTCTGAAAAATTTTGTCTGTTTTTTTTTTGTGTGTGTGGGTTTTTTGTTGTTGTTTTTGTGTGTGGGAACACAGACAATGAATGGGAAGTACTTTCAAACCCAGGGGAGAAAAACATTATAGAAATACCACATATGATTCCACTATGTTTCCCAAAATAGAAATGCTCTTAAAGGGAACTTCTGGGGCCTGAAATAATAAAGAAGACTTTTGTCATAGAAGATAAATATCCCATCTCCAAACTATTGCTTGGTTCCACATGGCAGAAGAAAACAGTACGCCTATGCCAGCCCTGGACCTTACAGGGGTGGGTGAATTCTGCTGATTTTGCAGAGTAAGCTGAGTTTACTTGATTCTTAGGAACAAGGATCTACCAGGTGAGACTATTATTTTGATTTTAAAGTGATATTTCTTTGAATGGTTTTAAAGTGTTTTAAATCGCTGTTGTTGTTGTTGCTGTTGTGTGTCTTCAAGTAGTTTTTGACTGATGGCAAGCCTAAGGCAAACATCATGGGGTTTTCTTGGCAAGTTTTGTTCAGAGGAGGTTTGCCACTGCCTTTCCCTGAGGATGAGAGTGTGTGACTTGCCCAAGGTCACTGAGTGGGTTTTATGACCAAACAGGGAATCGAACCCTGGTCTCCAGAGTTATGGTCCAATACTCAAACCACTATGTCAATTGGCTCTTGGTTTTACCTCTATAGATTGTTTAATTGTTTTTTAAATCACACTCTATCTTACACATATTTATTTTACTGAGTTTTTGTATGCTTTTAAATAATGCTGGTCTTAATAACCTAATAATTTAATAAGCCACTCTGAGTCCCAGTATTGGGGAAAAGGTGGATATAAATGAATAAAACAACACTTGGGGCCCTCCTGTTTACTAGTTCTTTTCCAAACAAAAAGGAGGAAGGGAAAGGAGAGAAAGATCCTTTTGGACAGCTACAAAAACAAACCATTACACGGACAATAGGATTGTGGTAGGTGGCTTCAAAAATCACTGAAATTTCAATTCCCTTTTAATACTTTTCTTGCTTATATTTCCTTTCCCCATACTATAACTATTTCAGTGATGATACTCTTCCAAGTTGAATATAACTTTTATGATTCTTTGGACCATGATCTTCAGTCTATGATTAAGTAATAGCATACTCAAATCAAATACTAACATACCCTTAAAATGAAATAAAGCATGCTTCACCACCCGTACCACTTTAATCCTATACTTTCAGCACTAGAGTCCTCAGAACACTTTATAAAGCAGCAATCCACAAGTTTCTGCTTCCTTGCATGAGCCTACTGTATGTTTACAAATGTGCACCTGCCATACATGTTTGATGGTCCTTTTGTGGAAAAAACAAGAGTGTGCACACAGCAGAGAAGAGTGATGGGAGTTACTTGACAACAGAGGGAACACTCAGCAAATCTAAAGCCAAAACTCAAGATTTCCCTTTTTCTTTTTAGGCCAGAGATGGGCAACAGTGGAAGGATGAGGGTCACCACCCTGCATCCCTTGGTGGGCTGCATCAGTGTACCAAAGCACTTTTTTAATTAAATAAAAATCTTTCCAGGTGATTGTTTTGCCCTCCACCCAAATGACTCAAAACCATGTAGAACATAGCAGTTTTCCTCACCCACCCCCAACATTCATTGAAAAACTCACAGAAGCCCCTCCCCCTGAAAAAAATTAAATAAAAGTCACTTCTGGTTTCCATTTTGACAGATTTTCAGTGGATGCTTTTGGCTTTGGGGTTTCTCAAAGCCAATGTGGGAGTGCTTTGAGTCATCTTGTAGAAGGGGAGTTGGGATAAAAATCACCCAAGAATTTATTTTTTTAATAGAGGGCTGGGGAATTTCAGAAACAACACTTTGCCCACCTCTGATTTAGACTAATGCCTTATACATGCTACAAATCAGCTAACCAGGACTACTCACCATGCAAGAGTGGCCGCGAATCTGTGTCACAGTCATCAAGGAGTTTAGTAGAATCACAGTCCTTCACTGAATACAAAGACAATGTGTCCAGGTTGTCCTCCAAAGAATCATTATTGATATTTGTAGTGGAAAGGCTAGGATCCACATCCAGGTTGCTCAGTCCTGAATAAATCATGTCTCTCATATCTGGGCATAAATCATGGCTGAAAGTATCATTACAGTCCAAAACCTGATTCCCTGAAAACTCATGAAGCTGCATCTCAGATTGGAGGGAACTATCATCACATGGATACTGGTCCATATTTGACCACCTTCTCTGTTTATATTTTATGTTTAAGTTTGCTAAACAAAAGATTAAGAAGGAACTGTGAACAATGAAGAGACTGCAATTATCAGCAGATTCACACCCAAGTAATAGAGTTCAGACACTGTCCTAAATGTAAGCCAGACACTACCAAATAAAATGCAACACAAACATGCCTATTTACATTTCAATTAGAACAAATTTATAATTGCATTACAAAAACAAAGAGCAGCAACCAGAAAAGCTACTGTGCTCACAAAAACCATGTCAATATTTCCTGATGAGAGAAATCTGTCCAGATTCAGCACATGTACATTTAAAATTAAGCTTCATGCTTTAAATGGTAGATTCACCAACTAAAGTTTTAACTGATTAATAGTTCGGAGCCACTTGCAATTGGCACAAACAAACATTAATCTGCAGGTGGATTCAGATGCATACTTTATTCATTTTCTTAAAGATATCCTGGTTCTTGTGTGTTACAAAATGGAATGACACAGTGTTTTAAGTAGTGATCCCCTATTGATCAGGTTTCTTTTGTAATGTAAAGAGGAAATGCTTATAACCACCTAAAAGTCTCAAGCTATTTGCAGATGAGAATTTCTTATGGAACTGCCATGGCCCATACACTCATGTTGGGGTGGGAGGGGGAGAGAAGTGTATGCTAATGGTATTCATTTGTAATGCCCCCATCTTCTCCCAAGACAGCTCCCACCTGTCTGTCTTACAGGTCCATTTAATTTTTTTAAATGAAATTTAACACAATCTTTCCAACTTTAGAAGCTGTTAGTGGTATTCTTGTATGTTTAGCAGATGTGATTTTGATACTGGCATTGATCTGCTGGGGAAGTGACCTTAGTATTGCTCAGCACACCCTCTGTATAACCTTTGCAACAGGTACTAGTTTAATCACCTCTTGTTTTTTAAATAAATAACTTTTTATACATTATACATTTTTATGCATTAAAATAACACTGAAGGATCTACAGCTAGAACACTACTTTAGAAAAATGTATCATAGCAGCATAAAAACCAATTGCTATACATCTCTTCCCATGACCAAATGAATGAATGGAAAACATTGCCCCCATCATTAAATAAAATAAAGCATTGCAACACTTTCGTTTAAATGGTATTTTGCTGCAAGAATATTTCAGCATGACTTATTATTATTATTACAAGACTGCTTTATAAATGTAATAACATTGTGCTTACTCAAAAGCAGTTTCACAGAATTCTAGAATCATAGTGCATTAAGCTAATCAGTCTCATTATTCATCTCACAAGTACGATGAAAAAGAAAGTGCTCAAAAACTGAGAATGTAAGAAAAACTAGAAACCATTTTAAGTAACTTATTTTCTTATATGAAATAGCTTTGTATTTTGTTAATTTTAATGCTACATTTTGCAGTTCCCTTTTTTGTAGATTACTGACTAACATCTCCATTGTTTTTCTCCTGTTTGGTTTGTAACATCTTGCCTGATGAAGAAGCCCATGGAGCTTCGAAAGCTTGCAACAAGTGTATTGTACACTTTGTTTGGCCAATAAAGGTATCACTGATGGATTTTTGTTTGAATCTTCTTGTTGCAGTTATTGTAATTATAAATGATGCTATTTAAAGGTTTACACTTGTGTGACTATTTCATCTGGGTCTCTACAGAAATCTAATTATCTTAATTTCTGCAAGTAAATAAAACGGAAAATTACTCACATAAGCAGTACACATGGAGATTCAGGACGTTTGGAGCTTAAGGTGTATCAGTAGTTCCTCTTGTATTACAAATGTCACTCTAAAATTCTGCTCGGCTCCTAGATGCTGTTTCACCAGGAATAAAGCAATATTTATCAAGACTTCTCTTCACAGTGATTATGAAGAGGTGCAGTCCAGCAGTTCTTCACTCATAGCACACAGATTTGGGGGAAACTCCAGGATGAATGTACCCTAAGCATAAAATGAACACCAATGTTCAATACATACACAATCAAAATATGCTGTTAGCATTTAACCTGCATATTCTTAATCAGCAAAATCAAAATTGTTTACCACACAGCACATCACTTTTAGCTGGGTACAACATGGCTGCATATTTTTCTACGTATTTAAAAACTAGATATACCATGGGCCCTTGGTATCCGCTGGGGTTTGATTCCAGTACCCCTTGTGGATACCAAAATCCGTGAATGCTTAAGTCCCATTATATATCATGGCATAGTAAAGTGGTGTCCCTTATGTGAAATGGCAAAATCAAGGTTTGCTTTTTAAAATTCATTTTTCAATATTTTCAATCCGTGGGTGCTTCAATCCGTGGATAAACAATCCGTGAATCCACAGGGCTGACTGTATTTTAAACAGATAGTTTGTCCTATTTGATTCTGTGGTGGAATTATGTAATACAGTCGGCCCTCCATATCCACAGATTCTTTATCGATGAATTCAATCATACAGGGCTTGAAAAGATTATACATACACACACACACACACACACACACACACACTCCCAAAGTCAAACATTTATTTTGCCATTTTGTATAAGAGACACCATTTTACTAAACCACTGTGTATAATGGGATTTGATCTTACATCAATTTTGGTACCCAACTGGAGGAGGGGGTCCTGGAACCAAATTCCAGCAGATACCAAGGGTCCAACTGTACTAAAATCATAGAATCCTAGAGTTGGAAGAGACCCCAAGGGCCATCCAGTCTAATGCCTGCCATGCAGGAACTCATAATCAAAGCATCCCCGACAGATGGCCATCCATCCTCTCTTTAAGAGCCTCCAAAGAAGAAGACTCCACCGCTCTCCAAGGGAGTGTATTCTACCACTGAACAGCTGTCAGGAAGTTCTTCCTAATGTTGAAGTGGGAATCTCTTTTCCTGTAGCTTCCATCAATTGTTCTGGAGCAGCAGAAAACAAGCTTGTTCCATCCTCAGTATGATGCCTCTTCAGATATTTAAACAGGGCTATCATATCACCTCTTAACCATCTCTTCTCCAGCTAAACATACCCAGCTCCCTAAATCACTCCTCATAGGGCATGGTTTTCAGACCCTTCACCATTTTAGTCGCCCTCCTTTCGACATGATTGACTATTTACTAGTATTTAAAGTCTGTGCTCCAAATTATATATATGGGTGAGTGAGAGGGAAAAAAAAATCTTTTTTCTTGAACATGCCTTAATGATTGGTCTGCAGAAAAGGCAGTTGGTATATATACACATATTCCAACTGCCTTTTCTGCAGACCAATTATTAAGGCATGCTCAAGAAAAAATATTTTTCCCCCTTCACTCACCCACGGAAAATACTTTTTCCAACCCCAGTAGGGATAAAATACACCCAACATTCCTCATGTTGTTTAGGATTCTTCTTGCCCCACAAATTAAGAATTTGCAACTAGCCTAATCCTCTTGCTTCTCCTAAGTGGATTATTGTTCCTGTATA